ACAGCCGGGTGGGGGGTGCGGTTTGCAACCAAACCGCCCCGGCCGCATGCGGTCAGCAGAACCGCCCCCTACCAATGAGGTTTTCATCGAAAACCGCTCCCGGGTGGCGGTTATCGTGAAAGGGTGCTATTTTTGGATTTTTTAGGGTTGGGTGCTATTTTTTTTTAAACAGTACTATTTCTGAAAAAAGTCCCAATTATTCCCACATGCGATTCTTGGGTCGACCCGCCTTCAATTGTAATTCGCTTTGCTGCACTCTTTGGCTGGCCTAAGAGACGTCTGTCTAGATGAACACTTCTATTATGCTATAAAATATTGGTGCTTTAATGTACAACTTAAATTTGTACCATAATGTTAAATGTATAAGTTAAGGTTGTACCATAAAAGAATTTGTACCCTTATGTTATGGTACAACTTTATTGCTTAAAGTTGCACCATCACATGAAGGTACAAGTTTAAGTTGTACAATAAAAGAATTTGTACAAAAGAGTATATGTACAATATGAAGTTGTACCATAACGTTAAAGGTACAACTTCAAATTGTACCATAAACACAAAAAGCTATAGCACCAATACTATATAGCATTTTACCATTCCTCTAGTCTAGATAGGTAGAAACTAGAATGACTACACATTTTACAACAATTCATGTGCTAGAGCCCAGAAGAGGAATAGACGGCCATGAGTTAGTTTCTTATCGTATATCCAATTCCATATCAGGAAATGACATGTACCTAATCAATAACCCTTTCAGGTTTGTGACAAATATATCCACAACTAGTGAAATACACGAAATATCCAAAAATTGGAAGGTTGTGTGGCAAATCTATCCACTTCCGTCTGAAACTATAACTGTGTGTCAGACGGCGTTAAATTGACTAACGGAATGCTGAATCGATGCCATCTCACCTGCCACATAAGCCAAAAAGCAACCAACTTTACACGTAGATGCCAAATAGGCTAATTGAATAAAAACGAAAATGAAAAAATTTGAATATGTCTGCCTCGTTCTCCACTTCACTCTCTCCCAGCTGAATCTAAATCCGCCATGGCCGCTTCTTTCTCCATCTCCAAACATTCCTCTCCTCCTGGGATTTCTTCCACCGCTGCATATATCAGCTTCGCACCTACCAGCTCCGGCGCCGACCGGGCTGATCTTTGGACAACCGGAGCTTCTTTCGGGAAGTATCTCTGTCTTCCTTGTCCGCGTCGAGATCCTCTCCGGCGGATCCGGTAGTAGCTGGTTGATTCCTCTCGCTCCTCTTCCCGCTGATACGTGAAACAATGCTGTTCGGAGAAGAAACTCCAGGCTCCTCCTCGCAATCGGCCGTCGCGACAGCAGCGAGCCAATTCACGTCGATCTCGCGGAGGAACGGTATCGCCGTCTCGCACCTGGTCGGGTTCGAACTCGGATCTGAATGTCGGGGAAAAAAAATCAACACATGAGTTGCAGATCTAGATGAGAGAAAACTAAGAAAGCCGATTGAACCAAAAAAGCTTGATAATAGATTCCAAAAAATTTCTTTCCCCTGCTCAAAAGAGAAAAGGCGAGCTTGATTCATTGAAAGTTTTGAAACAACACTTTCAATTTTGTGGTTTTTAGGGGGGTCCCCCCCCCCTCTTTTAATCCACATCATTAAGTGGGGTTAGAAACACACCAACTAAGCATCCACCATCTGTCCAGTCATCAAGTTAATTGACGGAGTTAACAGAGTGGACGAAAATGGATATTTCGTGTATTTCAATAGTTGTGGATATATATTTGTCACAAACCTGATAGTTGTGGATATACAACTGTATTTTGCCTATATACAATGTCATAATACGAAATGACATATACCTAATGAATAACCCTACAACAATGAAGAAATCTCAAGAAGTTTACTACAAGTCGTTTGAACAAACAAAGGTTTCAAAGATGAACAAAATATCAAACAACCACCTTAACTTAAAGTTATGATGAAAGAAACAATGAGTTTGCAACTTCCGTTTCGCATGTCAGACTAGTGTTGCCATGCTCAGTAGCAAAGTCGGGATTTGAAATATAAAAAAAAAAAAAAGATGGTAGAATTTTACAGAATTTTCAGCATTCAAAAAATCTTGCACTCCTCTTAATTTTCGGTAGGGGCATATTAGTCATGTTACTCTCCATAATCCGCCCAAAAAATGCGGAGGTTTTTTTTTTTACTTTGCTGGCAATTATGAGTGTTATTGGGCCCAATTTTAAAGCCCAATGTTTAGTTCAAATCGTTAAAGAAGATTTGGTTGTTTTGAGGTTTTTGAAAAAAATTAATAACTAATTTTTTTATTCGTAGTACCTACTAACCTACAAATTAAGTTTCAATAGGAAAATTACAGGTAATAAGAAAAAAGGAAAATAATGTGATCAGTAGTTTGAGAACCTCGCTAAATCGTGTGTTCATCTCTATCTTTCCTTTTCGCTGATATGTTTTTCTTCCCCTGTTTCTGGTTGAATCCCCTGCATCTCGGAAGTCTTTTTCCCTGCGAAGAAGATGAGCTTCAGAGATCAGCAAGTGGGCCTTACCAGATTGGGCCAAAGTCCTTCTCTTATTTAAGTTTCTTTTCTCTTCTTTTATTTAAGTGTTGTGGGCTTGTGGTACTTGGCCCAAACAGGAAAACAAAAGGAACGAGATCAAAGAGCATATCAAAGATCTCTCTTCCTCTTCCAGTTGTTCTCTACCTATTCTGATTTTCCCCAAATCGCATGAACCCTAGTTTACTTCATCCATTTTCCGTTTAACAATCAATACCAGTTTTATACAAGTGTCCATTATCTATCTAAAAATTAAAAAATCAAAATATGAGAATTGTAATTGTTTAATCAACTTAATAATTAAAGCGCTTAATATAATTGGTTTGCAAGCTGCTTAAGCTGCCTCCCGTAAATAAAAGGAAAAGAAGGTCATCGTGTTCGTGTAGTTGTGCCAATGGAAGAAAAGGCGACCCTAACTCCGTAAGTTAGTTCATTATCATATACCTAATGCTATACTGAAGGGTTAAAGGTCGTCCTAAAAATTACTAATCGTCGTCCTAACTTAATACGTAAATTACTTAACTACCCTTTTTAAAATTAAAAACCAAACCCTACCCAAACCCTCCCCTTCCTCTACCTTCCCGCCGCACATCACTTCTTCCCTTCCTCCACCTTCCCGTCCCCAGCAGAGCAGCAGAGAGGCGCCGCCGGCGACCTTCCCGTCCCCAGCAGGAGAGGGGCCGCCGCCCCACGCCCCACGCCGGCGACACACCGCCCCAGCCGGCCGACCTTCCCGTCCCCGTCCCGTCGTCGTCCGCCCCAAGTCCCCGTCGTCCGCCGCGCCTCCACTCGCCGTCAGTCCTCGTCGTCCGCCGCGCCTCCATTCCAGTCGCCTGCTTGTCGGAGAAGAAGGTAAGCCGTCGCCTCGCCCTTCACCGACCGAAGCCACCGTTCGGTTGGCCCTCGGTCAAACGGAGGTCAACGTTCGGTTGGCCTTCGGTCAAACCGCAGTCAACATTCGGTTGAGCCATGGTCAAACCAAAGTCAACATTTGGTTGAGCCATGGTCAAAACCGAATGTTGACTTCGGTTTGACCATGGTCAAACCGAAGTCAATTTTCGGTTGGTTACTTTTTAAATAATTTTAATGCAATTAATTAATAAAAATTGTTATTAAATATTGTAAATTAAGTAATAATTAGAAATAATTGTAGTTAATTATAAATAATTTGTACGGTTTATAATTTATTATAAAAATTAAATTCGAATAGTTTTATGAATTCAATTATGAAAAAAATATTGTGAATAATGTAATAAAAATTAGTAAAAATTATCTGAAATTTTTAAAAAGTACGAAAATTTAGAAATATAATCTGTAAATTTGTAATCAATGTTAAAAAAATATTAGAATAATCGATAAATTAAAAAGTAATCGAAATTAGACAAAAAGACTAAGAAAGTTGTAATTAATGTTAATAAATTATCAAAAAGTTACAAAAAAATTAGAGAAAATTATCAGAAAATGTTAATGCATTTGATTATCATTAATTGTAATTTTTTTTTTTGAAGATGTTTGGACATGGAATAGGCAAACCGTACATGAATAAGAAAAGAATGGAAGAAAAAACGGAAGGAAGAATGGAAGGTCGTGCTTGTAGACTTACAGCGACCGGTAGAAAAGAAAATGAAGAAAAAAAATCCACGTAAGGTTAAGGGGAAGAAGAAGAAGGCGGAAATAGGGCGTCCCGACGGTCGCTCTACTATGGGACAGTTATCTCTTAGTCGAGGTACTACCTCCACCCCTACTCCTGAGGATGCGACGCCGTGGGAGGCTAATTGGAGTGATTCAGTTTCTATGGACGACGACGATGGTTATGATGATGATGTGGCTGGTGATGAGGTTGGGGATGTCCCACCTGAATCTGATGTAGGCATCGGTAAGAAGAGACGAGTTGGGACATCTTCTACAGCTTCTTCGCACTTTCCACAGCGTGGGCTAGATGGACGCTACGTTGCGAGACGTAGTAGTGAGGAAGACGGTGATGGTAAGAAGAGGAAGAAGGGAGTGAGGGGGGACATGTCGTGGCGCCTGACATCGGAGTCTCAGATGTGTTCAGGTGGACCTGTGATTCCCGATGTGATCCCTAGCTTTGGAGGTCACATTGCCTTTGCATTGTGGACTTCCCCAGCGCAGGATCGTGGGTTGTTGGATTGTTGTCATAGATCTGGTAGTGTGGAGTCTTTGAGGAGATATGAGTGGAGTTCAGAGGGTTCTCAGAAGGTGGTTGAGGGCACAGGATTGTCCCACTTGGCAGGGTGTATGATGCAGCATTTAGATACAGCTTTGATAACGACATTTGTGGAGAGATGGCAGCCGGACACGAACACCTTCCATATGCCATTTGGAGAGATGTCGATTCTTCTCCACAACGTGCATCACATTCTTTGTATTCCAGTAGGGGGAGCTGATGAGAGATGATCCGCATCCAGATGTTCTTAAGTTAGACATGCATGATCTAGTTCAGGTCCCGGTGGATGGTCCTGTTGGTGGTAAGTGGAAGTCGAAGTGGTTCCTTAATGGTGGTATACACGCAGAGGGATTGTTGGTGCGTGGACGAGAAATGAAGATTAGGGATCTGGAGGTGCAAACTTACTTGTTTGTGTTGTTGGGATCCACACTTTTTGTGGATAAGAGTCGCGATCGCCTCCGTCCTGCGATCAATGTATTTTTGAAGGACCAGCGACGAGTGGCCGGTTACGCCTGGGGAGCTGCTGCACTCGCCTATCTCTACAAACAGCTAGGGATGGCCACACGAGTGGGGAGTAAGAGTATTTGTGGTTGTTTGACTCTGCTTCAGGCTTGGATATATGAGTACTTTCCACTCTTCCGTCCGAGCCAGATTCTCCATGCTCCATATGCTCCTCGTGCTTCCTCGTGGGTGTGTCACCGCTTTGTAGGTGGTGATGATGCTAGACAGCGCTTGGTACGGTATCGACAAATGTTGGATGAGATGTCAGGGGAGGATGTGTCTTGGACTCCTTACGGGCGAGATGCTGGCACGGAGGTACTACGCTCTTTGTATACTGGTGTCATTCGCTTTGCTGACGTTGCTGAGGGTTATGATCCTGCACGGTGTCGCCGACAGTTTGGGTACCGACAGACTATCCCCCGTACGATGATGGTTCCCAAGGATGTGTACCGCCCAGCTTCTTGTAGCACCTACATCGTTTTCTGGGAGGGTAGCATGGATCAGTTATGGGGCAACTTGCCGTCTCATTTTCTACACATAGCGATTGATTCTGACTTGTGCGAGTATCCATCTGAGGCCGATGAGGATTACATGGATTGGTATCAGACTCGATCGCACCCACGGATCATCAATCCGGACTCTGGTGGAGTGTCTCTATAGCGGCCAGTGCTAGTCGATGAGGTTAATTATGTCATAATTGTTCAATTTTTAATGTATTGTTAATATACTTTTTTTCCATTCATGTAATTATTTTTGTATTTACAGTTGAGGAAGCAGATTGTGGAGAAGTTTGGTCCTGTGTTGGCGGTGAGGGACAAGGATCACTATGTGGAGCATGCATCTGAGTACTACGATATGATGAGTGAGGTTCACGAGTTGTATGACCAGTTCGTCGGAAAGACTCCGTAGTGGAGTGTGGCATTTCTAGATTGTTATCCTTGTACTTTATTTTTATTTGGAATTGCTAGTTTGACTTTGCCCGTGAGATGATCTAACTTTTGGAATTTTCAGATGATTGGAGTTTGTTTCTTTTCCATTTCTAAAATAGTAAATCAAGAGTTGCATCAAATACAATAACTACAACTACATCTAACCATCAACCGGCTGGGTTTAATCTATCATAAAATTGGCGTTCTTGTGAGAAGAATTGGTCCCAACCATGGACACTAGGATCATGATAAATAGGCCAAAGCCCATTAATCGGAGGCAATGGCACTTGACCAGGCCGAAAGTCAAGACGCACCCAATGACATCCCGTAAAATGTAGTGATACGCTCCCACGTGGTCTTGTTACTCCTGGTGGGGCAATCACAGGTAGCACGGTATAACGACCGCCTTGACTATAGACAACAATTACCCATGAATGCAATGTGGCAAAGACGAAAAGCTACACATTATCCATCCAGTGGGTAACGCCACAACCACGATCTTGAGTCCACCTGCAACGCCGAAGCCCATTATCTATTTCGTCGGAAATTCCATCGTAGTATGGTCTGTAAAGCTCAGGTCGGGCTTCAAGCTCTTCTACAATGACGCGTCTCATCTGCAACCAATTGTTTTGGGACCCGGTAAGTGCTTGTGATATTGCTCGAAATCCGCAATGTCCATCCGGTTCTGGGTTGAACCAACCACGAATGTATGGTTGCACGTAAGTTTCCAAACAATACAACCACGGGTAACTCCGCCAACCAGTATTGGGAGTCCTGATAACCCTCCAAGGGGCACCATCTGTCCCAAAATACACAACACAATGAATTAATACAAGATGTATACAACATCTAATAATCTAAAATAGGGACACTACTTCTAACCTGTATCATTATGAGTATCCGGCTCCGTCCCATTCGTATTTGTGGACTCGAAGTTGGTGTCTGCATCAGGGATATCACCTAATATCATTTACAAAAATAAGTTAGTTATACATCATATTCTACACAATTTAATATCAATTTCCCAAACAGTACAACCTACCTGTCCTCTGGTCGTTGTCCGGTGTTGTGGTCGAAGGTATCGAACTTCTCCTGCCCCGTCTCCTCTCCACATGCTCGAAATGAGATAGGTTTCGCGTGGTGGATGTCCTCGGGCGACCGGGTCGGGGCTGCCCCCCATGCGGCTCATCAATGCCATCATTTTCAGGATGAAGATGACTCCGAAGTAGGCCAATAGGCCCTCGAATGGTCTCATCTCCCCTATCAAGAACCTCCTGTACTAGATCTTGGAAGACATCACGATGGTAAAGACTATCGTCATCCCACTCTGCCCGAGTAGGAGGTTCACGATAGTTCATAATGGTCCAAAAAGCTAACACCTCATATGGGGCAATGTCCCGCTTTTCAGAACGTGCTAACTGCATTGCACATCTACATGGGAGACCAAAGATAGCAGGAAACGTACATGTACAGCTTGCTCCTTCCACTGATACCTCAATGAGCATCAACCTCATAGCCTGTAGAGTGACGTTTGTATGCAACTCCCGAAATGGTCTTCCGTATGCTAGTAACATCTTCTTTAATCTAGAATCCTCTAGAAGCTTTTGGATTTGAAGATGTTGAGCCTCAATGTAATCATGGTTCTTCTTATAAACCTACAAACAAAGAAAGAAAATTAGGATACTAGATTAAGTAAAACTTCTAAAGAATACATAAATGAAAATTTATTAAGAGACTAACCGTGTCGATTGCACCAGTTGCTGATTGAAGCCACTTCTTGAAGGATGAATGAGCAGATTCAACCCGATTTGAGCTTGTATTACCCAAATGTCGCACTTGGTTTGTATAACATGTTGCCCACATATGCTTGTTTGGTAACCACTCATGTGACAAGTACCCCCAAAGACGTGGATACTGTACTCCCCAACTACGCCTGAAACTGTCTAAAGCTCTATTCATGCCTTCCTCACTGCCGGCATATACAATCCTTTTCCAAGACGCCATGATCAGGTCCACTGTCGGTTGGGCTGCATCTATCCCACAATGAGACGTCCTCCTCACCTCCGTTAGACACCGTGCTCTCACATTCCTATCTACATGCCAAAGGCATAGTATATGAGTCGATGATGGAAACATTACCCCCACGGTCTCAACCAATCCTCCTGCTTTGTCACTAACAAATACATCTGGAGTGATAGAGCCAAGCAAATGTTGCAGATGCGTGAGAAGCCACTGGTACGACTCTTTTGTCTCGTCATACACTAGCGCAGATGCAATGACAAAGTTCAATCCCACCGGTGTCATGCCAACAATCTCAACCCATGGAAACTCATACTTGTTGGTCTTGTATGTTGCATCTATCACAATGACATGGTGCCAAGCTCGCAACATCAATATTGACTCAGGGTGGGCTAGGAACAAGTGTGTAAGCACGTTACGGTCATCCACATACTGCACATAGTAACCCTTCTCCCGAGCATCTTGAAAAGTGTACTTTAAGGCCGTCCACTGACCAAACTCTTCTTTTCTTATCTTATACAATGCGTTAGAAATCTGTCTTTTGTTCACCTTTCCATGCTCCTCTTTTCTCTCGTTCACTGCCTTGTGGATATTCCTTGGGGCGACACCGGCTAATCTCAGTTGTCTGATGTATTGCTTATCATCTTCGGTCAAAACATTCCTCTTACTTGATCCATTCGGAAATAGCTCCAGCGGATGATTGTGAAAACCCAAATTAGCACCAGGATTCTTTGTATTAGCCACTGCTAGTATCAACCAATATCCATCATCTGACCGCTCAATCTTGATCTGAAATTCACACCCCAACTTTCCAGAAGAAGTAAGAGGCCTCCTTTCCTTAGCCGGATCAGAATCAGGAGCCTTCGATTTTTTCTTCCTGCCATGAGTGCACTTCAAGTATCGTCGCCTACTATCTTCATTTGGATTTTTTTTATTTGATGCCTTCACCAAATAAAACCCAAAACCCTTGGCAATCTCAGTAGCTGCTGCATATGCAATCAAATCCGTATCGTATTTTACTCCATTGTCGAATTTTGAGGTGTAATCTTTGCCATCCCCTCCGTAATCATCAATATCCTACAATGTTAGATCTCATGATATAAGTAGGACTCCACAATAATAGAAAATCTAACGACTACATTTAATTTAACAATTATCACAAATAATTTAGCATTCTGAATATTCTCCTAAGCAAAATCCAACATTTAACATGAAAAAATTTAGCATTCTCTATTATTTACATAAGAATCATATTAATCACATTCTAGAATTTTTTTTATTGCGTATTATACATCTAATCTTAATTTTGTATACAAAAACATTCAATTTCACAAATAATTAGGCTCATTAATTTTAAAAATAATATAAACTAAAATTCAACAAACAATCATATAGACCAAACTATAAATCATAACAAAAAAATAGAAATATTTGATATAAACTTAAAAAAACTCAAAAGTCACCAACAGAAGCAAATTTTCGGTTTCACCATGGCCTAACCGTTGGCAGGGTTCGGTTCTACCATGGCTAAACCGAAACCAATTTTCGTTTCACCCATGGACCAAACGAAGCAGATTTTCGGTTCATCCATGGCTCAACCGAATGTGATTTTCGGTTGGTCCATGGTTCAACCGAAACCAATTTTCGGTTGAACCATGGACCAACCGAAAATCACATTCGGTTGAGAATTTTTGGATTTAAAAAAAAAACGAGATTTTTACCTCGGAGGATTCGCTACTCATTGTTCGAACGTATGCTCGACGATTTCGGCTTCCAAATGTCGATGATGAATTCGAGAGTGTGGGAGAATGAGTGTTTTTTGCTTTCTAAGTGAAGGTGGTGTTTGTTTGCTAAAGGAAAGGTAAAGATGTTAAAAGGTTAAAAGTGTAACTTTGTTGTTTTTTAGGACGATCATTGGTAATTGTTAGGACGACTTTTATCAACTCCCATGCTATATTATATTGAGCTACTAGCTACAGTTCTCTGTACAGTTCTCTGTCAACCCAATGAGGCCCAGTCCTTTGCCACAAGGGGATGAGTTCCCATGTCTTGTACACTAGGATACGTATATGGGCTAGTTAGTATTGGAGAAGTCAGTTGGAGGTTGATACATCTTTTAATCTACAAACAGGTGCAATGTAAGCGTGGAGTGTCCAATGTTCTGTCTGGTTCGAAATCATACCAAATTTTTGAAATTCACGGTTCAACAGTAAAGTGAAAGACATCTTAGAACCAAAGACCGGACCAATATTGTATTCGATCCGCTATATATGGTCCGGTCCAAATGTCCAGCGGCGAATCCAGGGGGCCGCCCCCGGGCCACGGCTCAGCCCTCCCCTGAATCTCGAGCTAGTATAGCACATGTAATTTCCGATTTTTTATATTCGTTTTAGTGTTTTTCACGTTACGGTCCACCCCTCTCCGCCTTTTTTCAAATGTGGCCCAGTGCTCTCCCCCGTCCTAGATCCGCCGCTCCAAATGTCACTTATGTTAATTGTTCTTTCATATTTATAAAATTCATGTGACCAAAGATTGGATCATGTTATATTCAATTCGATAACGATCCGGTCCAAACATCGATATGATCCGACGCGATTCGAGACGGACCAACCAATTGCACCCCTACATGATGCACATACTTGTATAAAACAAACACTCCCGCAAAAGAAACATCATGTGAAGGAAGTAAAAGTTATTGAAGTTGTATTACTCTGATCCTCGTGGTTCGATTGACTTTTCATTTGTTGTCCCGGTGGTCATATCTCCTCGTAGCCGTAGGTACCCGGATATTGAAAAAGAAGTGGGCAGGAAACGTACAAGAAGAGTATGTTAGGGTTTGCAGTTTGCACACAGCAAACAAATATTCCTCTATATATGTAAGGGCCGGGGGATATTGATTATTTGTAGGTGAACCCCGGTAGCTAGCTAGCTAACTGGTCTGAATTTGTATAAAACAGAACTCCAATAACAGTACAAAGGAAATCAATCCTCACTGTAGCTAGCAAACATAGAATTGGTACGTAGCTCATTAATTATTTCTTTTCTCGAGTGGAGTGGAGTGCCATACATGAATTTGTGATATATAAAATCTGCTTTTCAAGGAAGATGCATTGGGAAGGAAAAGTAGGGGAAGTAGTGGATCTGCTGTGCCTGTACATCAAGAAGAAGAGAGAAGTGGCCATTTTATGGGGTTTCAATGCAAAAGGAGTTTCGCAAGCAGCTAATCCATATGTACGTACGAACGTATAATTACCTAGCTAGTAGCTAGAAGATATATGGATGGAGACAGCATTTATTGGAATTCTTTTTCTTTCTTCTTCTCTTGAGGGTGGTTTCTGAATTCTGACACAACTTTAAGACGTTGACGAGAATGTAACATTTGTATTTTCGGGCTTTAGTTGGGAAACCCTTCACATGCTGTAAGCTAAGTAGTAAATACTAGTCCGGGATTAGAGCATTAACAATACAAGAAAAAAATCTCGCGCTATGCTGGGAATGATATCATACTTGCATTGACATTAGTTGTTCCATTTTCGAATTTTCAGCATCTATGTCGAATTTTCTTGACTGTATAATTTGATAAAATCAATATATTATGTTTAGCAAAGCGCTAATTTTTTATTATCTATTTCATGAATTTGAGAGTTAATTATTGATGTTATTTGTTGGATTCAAATATAAACATTAGGGTGTAGACGTTAAATATTTGGTATTTTTTATTTTATTTTATTTGAAATATTGTATTCTATTTATATATGAATGTAGATGGTATTCAAATATATTTTTATATACAATTATTAAATTACATTTTTCACATTTCTACATATTTTGTCAAACCGAAATAAATCAATTTTATTCTAGTCTAACATACCACTTGCTAACTGGTCTCCACCCATTCACTTTCTCTTCCCCATGTATTCTCTCCTCTCCAAAATACTTAAATTGTTTTCTCTTTTATTCCATTGGTTTTCTTTACTTTTTTCCAAAGAGTTCACTACTCCTTAGGAACCTACCTGTAGGGTTAAACCCAACCAAACCAAATATAATTTTTAGGTGGAGAAACGTAAAAGGGAGTAGAAAAGAAACCCATACCCTTAGGTCCAATCAAATGGAATACTTAGTGAACAGTAAACATGATTTTGCTTTTTTAATAATAATAATAATAATAATAATAATAATAATAATAACTATTATGATTGTATAGTGATAGTAGAGACCAGTTCCACAGACAACGTAACGTAATGGCAACCCTAAAAATAAAATGATGGTTGTTAATCGATCGAACAGATTATTACCACTTTCCAAAAGGAAGAGTAGCAAAACTGGCGATGATGAGCTTAACATTGCTGATCTTCCTTTACTTATTTTTGGCAAAAATCGATTGTTAATTAGAGGTGTTTGTGAAACATTATTGAATTGGCGGCTCGAGCAGAAAAACTCTTATCGGAATCTAAATTGGTAGCTTATTTGAATGGTATAAAATGATTGAACCAAGTTAAACAACGACAGTTACAACTTTCAACACCAAATATCATTATGTTAACTTTCCGGTACAACTTCGAATACGATTTCGCAATCTTTGCTCATTAGTCTATTAGTAGATGATTTGAGAGTGGGAGAGGTAATTAGTAAATATATATTAGGAGTAAGGTGATGAAATTATAAGCTAACGTGGACTAGTCACAATCCTTTATGAAATCAAGAAGAGGAACACTGAATATCTAATAAGATGTTTGTTAATATAAAGCTCCTAATTAACTTTCCTGAATCGGGTAGCGCTAAAAGCTCTACTTCACTAGCTATGTAATTTAAGGTAACGAAATCAAGTATATGGTACGTCCTTCTGATGATACACAGAAAAGAAAGGAAATGTACAGATGGTAATAAATTGAGAACACGTCTCCTAGTCCTAGTTATAAATCGTTGCTTTCTTAAAAGCGTCCAGCTGTGAGAGCTTTTACCGGTTGGGTGCATGTATCATTCATGGGCACACTGATATATCCCGGCCAGAGGGAAGAAGGCGGTATTCTTTTTAGTTCGATCTTCTTCCGTACGTTGAGGGTGGTTTTTGATTTGTAACATAACTCGAAACAATACAAGTTTATTTTCCCGCCTCTGTTTATGGCTTTACGTTGAGGCGAGCTAGCTAGCATTAACGTTTATTAAATGAAATGGTTTCAATGGGAAAGCTGACGAAAATGTAACTTTTGTATTTGCCTGCTTTTTTCGGGAACCCCTTCACATGCTGGAAGCTAAACGCTAGTCCTGGGAAAATAAAGTTGACAACATATATGATTTGCATACTTGATACTACTGCGCCTCCCCGTAAGCAAAAAAAAGTAAATATATTAAATTGGTTGTCATAAAACAATGAAGCAATGGACGACCGGTACAAGTGCCATAAAGATTTTCACCTAACCAACTCTTCTTCTCTTCCGCCTACTCTGGGCTATATATGTAGTGAGATGGATTCAACCCTGATTCCCCAACATTTCCTCTACACCGAAGAAAAGCAGAAAAACAAAGAAAAAAAATGATTTCTAGCATTTTCCTCCTCAGTACCATCCTAGTACTCTCAGCGGCGGCACCGGCAGCGGAGCTCCGAGGCTATGTTGTGTACACCGGCGCGGCGAGCCCCAGCAACCTCGCCCTCAAGGAAGCCATCATCAACCGCATGAGCGGCCAGCTGCTGAGAACCTACCGTCACGGGTTCTCGGGTTTCGCGGCCAGGCTGTCACCGCAGGAGGCTACCTTCATCTCGATGCAGCCAGGAGTGGTGTCGGTGTTTGAAGACACTTACTTGAAGTTGTTGACCACGCGGTCATGGGGTTTCCTAGCAAGTTTGGAGGGTTCTTACGCCAATCCCGCTTACCCTTACGCCTGCTCCTCTGATATCGTGGTCGGATTCATAGACTCCGGTATATGGCCGGAGTCGGAGAGTTTCCGACCAGCCAGCAGCGCCCCGCCGCCGGTAGGGTGGAACGGCACCTGCCAAACTTCTAAAGACTTCAACATGAGTTCCTGCAACGGGTACGTACGTTACGTAGGCATGCATGCATATAAATATTTAATTAGCTGCTTTTATTTATTTGATTTTATTATCGATCGATCACCAACTAATCGAGATTGTGGTTTCCTTTGTCTTGTGTTTTTGCAAGGAAAATCGTGGGAGCCCGTTTCTACGTGGGGGAGAGCGCGAGGGACGTGGAAGGACACGGCTCCCACGTGGCCTCCACCGCCGCCGGGATGGAAGTCAAAGCCTCCTACTACGGCCTGGCCGCCGGGACAGCGAGAGGGGGGTCCGAATCCGCAAGAATAGCTGTTTACAAGGCCTGCTTGCCGCTCTTCGGCTGCCTGTCGTCGGCCATCCTCAGTGCGTTCGACGACGCCATCCGTGACGGCGTAAACGTCATTTCGGTGTCGGTAGGCAGCACGCAGCTCACTCCTCTGGACTTCACCGAGGACCCTATCGCAATAGGGGCCTTTCATGCGACGGAGCGGGGCATCCTCGTGGTCTGTGCAGGCGGGAATTCCGGGCCGGCTCGATCTAGCATCAAGAACGACGCGCCCTGGATCCTCACGGTGGCGGCTTCCACAATGGACAGAAACTTCGAAACCAACGTGGTCCTGGCCGGAGCCAACAAAACTATCAAAGTACGTGCGATGCGAACGTAATTATTCTCTAATAATTCCTCCATCTATCGACCGTACGATTAGTTTCAATAACTTTGTTGTTGTTGTTGGTGTTCTTGTTTTTTGTTCTAGGGTCGATCGATCGGGTTTTCCAAGTTGAGTAGGTCCCCAATATACCCTTTGACCACCGGCGAGGCAGCTGTCGACAAGAACCGGCAAGCAGCAAGGTAACTAATTAATGGAAGGGTTTTTTAATTTTATTTTTAGATGTTGATCTGTAGTTTTGCTTTAATTAGGTTTAGCAAGTACCATTACATATATTTACCATGTGTTTCGTTTCGTACGTACTGCATGCAATGCAGGGAATGCCACTTGGATTCTCTCAAGGCATCCAAGGTGAAAGGGAAGATAGTAGTTTGCGAAACGTCGGCTTCGACAACCTATCTGTCCGACCAAAGAGCCGAGATAGTATCCAAAGGTGGTGTTGGTATGGTGGTGGTAAGCGACACGGAGAGTAGGGTGCCTGGCTTCTATGGTGACTTTCCGATTACCATCGTGAGTTTGGAAGAAGCTAACAAGTTGATGACCTATCTGAACACTACCAGGTAATTAATCAATTAATTAGAAACCGATCGAACAAGCCAGACCATTATAATCAAGAAATTAACTAAAAGTTGTTCAATTTATGCAGGAACCCCATGGGAACAATCCTTGGAACAGTGACGGTTGGGCACCAGAAGCCTGCTCCAGAAGTGGCCTTCTTCTCTTCAAGGGGGCCATCCATGGTCTCGGGAAACATAATCAAGGCAAGTTTCATTTTGGTTTGGTTTGGTTTGGTTGTGAAGATTGATTGATTTGTTTATTTATTTCAATGGCTTATATACATTAATTGGTGCTTCAATGTTAATTTGCTCGCAGCCGGACATCACCGCGCCGGGGGTGGCTATCTTGGCGGCCTGGACAGGCAACGACTCCTCCATAGCGACGCCAACCGGAAGAGCTCCACCGGCATATATCATTATATCGGGGACATCCATGGCGTGTCCCCACATCTCCGGTGTGGCCGCCAACGTAAGGTCCGCCGTTCCCACCCTCACTGCCGCCGGCGTTAAGTCCGCCATCATGACCACAGGTGATGGATGGATGATTTTGATTTTGATTTCATTTTCTTTTTTTTTATATTAATTTTATTATCATTCAACACACGACTATAACGTAACTAATTTAGTCTTGGTTACGTTGTTTATCCGCAGCTGTGTCCACCAACAATTTAGGGACGGCCATCACCACCGATGAAGGCGACTGGGCCACCCCCTACGACATTGGCGCCGGCATCCTCCAGCCAACAAGAGCCTTGAGACCGGGTCTCATCTACGACACCACAGCCGATGAATACCTTCAGTTTCTGTGCTACCACGGGTACAACACCACCACCGTCAAGTCGATCTCGAGGACAGCCGCAAGAAGCTTCCGATGCCCTGCCGGTGGTGCCAACCGCGACCTCATCTCTTCCCTCAACTACCCCTCCATCTAGGTGAGGCTGAGTCGGATGGGGGCGAGGAGGACCATCCCCCGGCGCCTGACCAACGTGGCCGCTACAACGGGAAATGATACGACCGCCTGGGTGTACCAAGGGTCTATTGGGCTGGACGGCGGAGGCGGCGTGGTGGTCAAGGTTGTTCCAAGGGTTCTCAAGTTTGTCCAAGAAGGGGAGACCAAGGCATTTAAAGTTATCTTCCAGAGCAACAGGACTGTGGGGAGGAAGACCGTGACCGGGTGGGTTAAGTGGACCAACCGTCACTTCACGGTTCGGTCGGTCTTTGTGGCGGAGATGGTCTGAAGAAGAAGATAATGGTCGGGCAATGAAGAAGAAGAAGAAGAAGTGCGGTTAATTATCCTCTAGTTTTATCATGTTTTTAAGCTTTATTTATGTCTTTAGTTAAGCAGTTTCTCCTGATGGTTTGTGGCATGCACTGCTTGGTGGGTGTACGTTATGATGAACTATGATGAACTACGTGGCTCTATCTCTCAACTATCAATCTATGGGCCTTGTGAAGTACTTCCTAATGAACTGATCATATGATGTGAAATACATGTATATGGTATGGTGGAGCTATTACTATCATCATCATCATCATCATCATCATCATCGTTGGTGTGTGTGGTTTTGTTTTATATTTATTATTATTATTAGCTACAACAAGTATATGTTCATAGTCTGCATGCTCCCTCCTGATCAGTACTCGTGGCAAAATTATAAAGTAACAGGTAGAAAGTACACTCCCAGAGAATTATGTCTAGTGGCTACACCGATGAAAGGAAGGCCCGAGGCGGGAAGAGGCTGCCTGTTTCAATTCAGCCAGTAAAATGTAGAAAACAAATCCATAGGCCAATGATAATTGATATATGTTCCTTAATTCAAATAATAAATAGCAAAATCATAAATGGTAGTATTGTGTTGCATGCTCTGACATCCAATCTTGTAGTATGTACAAGTTGGCGTTTATTCAAATTCCTCGATCGATCTCACGGGGACCACTTGTTGGAACTTGATATTTTCATAAAGAAAGTTCTCACATCCTTTCTGCAGCTCTACACCAAACCACAACTTTGCATTAATTAACTCCTACATATATTCTTCATATTACTTTCTACGTACCTACAATTACTTGGAATATTGGGTTGTGTCATCTCGATATCTCATAGGAAACATGTCGTTGAAATCAAATCAAAATTCATTGGGCAGGTATTTTAATGAGGCATTTCGAAACAATTCGCTATTTTGTCACATTTTGACTAAATAATTTGTTTGGTAAAATGAGTGATTTTGAGATCAGCGATTGAGGGCATTTAAAATAGCTGATTCTGAAAACGTCAGCTATTTTGAAATCACTCTTTTTTCCCCTTCCAATTTTGTCCCTTGTAATTTTATCAAATTCCAAAACAAACCCTCACCACACAAATCCAACCCTCCATCTCCTTCTCCTCATCCCGAGACCTCTCTCCCTACCCTCTAGATTTCTTGGTTAGGACAAATCGAAGATGCCACCTTTCCCTACACTCCAATAATACCCTGTCAAGATCTTGGTGGTGACTGGTAAGGGGTGCAGCGCCGGTACCCAATTGCCAATCTACTATCTGAGCCCTTGGACTAGTACATCTCGCCCACGCAAAATTCTATGCAATCACCATGAGGGTAGAGACCGAGCCCTCGCATCCAGGATAGAAGATTTCGGATAGTCCTTTCTATTATTTACTCGGGCTAACAACAAATTAGGTCCTTTCAGATTCTCCAAGCCACCTTAGCCAACATAGTCTGATTAAACTCCTCAAATCTTCTGAAATCCACCCCACCCTCATGTTTACTTAGACACATCGATATTCAAACTTCCCAGTGTATACGCCTCTCATTTTGTTTTACCCCACCAAAATTTGGCCAAATGCCTATCTAGTAAACGACATAAGAAAAGAGCCGACCAGAGTATGCTTTGTTTTGAAAAGAAATAAGAAAAGAGGAAGAATAAGATAACGAAGAAAATGAGGACAAAATAAATAATTTAAACTATATCAAATTGTTTAAGCCAAAGTCCTGATATACACCCAAACACGCATAATTAAAAATTCCATATATAAAAATTTTGGTTATTTGAATGAATGATTATGAACCCAAATGTCTCAGAATAAAATCATTGATCCAAACGACGTAACTTGAAGGTGAAGCTACAAATTATGAAAGAACTAAATTGTTGGTATACGAGTAGGATTTTGATCGCAATCCATCGAAGACCTATTTTAGAGAAAACCAAAGACCTATATGACTACATCGACCACCATGTGGGTAGAAACAAGAAAATAAAATTGAGTTTATAGTAAACGGAAAATATTGTAATGAATTTATGTAAAAAATAAAAAATTTGGCCAATGCGTGTAATGAAAAGTTGAAATAGGTTATATTTATATATTGATATTGATATTACTTGGCCATTTATATGTGCTCTATTTTTCGGCTTGCCAATATTGTAGCAGTTGAAGGCTTTGAGGCTTCCATAGTTCCATGGCAGATGGATAGGCAGGTGGGAAGCCGAAAAGAGAAGGGCATTGTACCATCTGTCAAGGGTGATACTAATCAGTGAACTCCAGTACCCCACATACTTAGGGATTCGGACACAGTAACATTTGCCATTTTGCTCCAATTTTAGCTGAGTAAAATTAGTGGGGTTCTAGAATTTTAAGGTTTCAAATATGTGAAGCCACAAACTTGCAAATACTATGGCTTGAGGTGGGATTTGGTAGAACGTTGAAAATTAAAACACCAACAACTCTAATGAAGTAAAATTTAATACGCTTCAGGGAGTGTATGTTATCAAAGTCACGCAGCTAACGACTCAATCGAAAGATCGATTGAGCTCGAATCAAGAACGAAGCGTTCTTAATACGAACTTGGATAAAACGGAACCAAAAGTGCAATTCTGATAGAAGGAAGGTTCTATCAGATTTGATATTTTGGGAATTAGGGTTTATACGAACAGAATTAGGGATTGAGATTAGGAGAGGAAGAACAGAATTAAGAATCGGCCGAAGCCTTGGACTAGGAAAGAAGAGAAATTAGGAGATAGGGAAAGCTTTAGGGTTTGGGAAGATAATTCTTTATTAACTTCTGCTTAATCGAACAAAAGACCCAAAGTACATATTTATAGCTAGCAATTGGAAAAACCTAATAATAAACCTAATACGATTAGAAGACTACTAACCATATCTAATAATATCCTAATTATAGTAATAATAATTATTATGATAGAACCCAAAAATTGGGTTTCTATCATCCCCTCCCCCTTGAGACCAACCTTTCCCTCAAGGTTGAAAGACTCAGGCCACTTCACCACATCGCCCTTGCGACTCGTGCATTGACTCATCCATTTATCGCGCTTCCTTTTCTTTCAATCGAGTTCAAGTACTCGATCACGAGTCATAACCCAAGTAGCTCCAATAAAACATCCTACTTCCACCAAACCCAACTCAACCTCTACCATTTCCTCACACCACCAGGTGGGCTTTTCAGTGATCGGGCCAATTCGTGGCCCACTTGTTCCCTTAGAACTCGACCCAACCCACACATAAGGACCAACGAATTCCCGTATCTGGGGACATAATTGCTTCTCATCCCTTTCCCTTCCCAGCTTTCTAATCGTAAAACCCTTTTCTAATCGTAAAGCCCTTAAGGGCAAACTCCTCCCCAACACTCTTCCTCCTGTAATGAAATTTCCCATCATTGTCTACCCATTCTTTTCGTACCCCATATGTCTTCCATAAGACCCAATTTATTTCATGGGTCCAAACTTCATTAGCAAGCGTAGGTGCTGATGCTAACACCCATTCAAGTCCAACCGCCCCCAAATCATGCTTGTTCACTCCAGGCCTACAAGACCATCCCATAACACCGGGCCCACTTCAATTGGCCCACTTAGTCTTGCTCTAGCAACCTTTTGGCCCACTACCGTATTTTGCAGAGAGGCTTCGTGGGAGGAGAAAAGATGCAGATACTCTTGTTGAAGATTGGTACCACCGCCGATCTCCTCCTTCATCTCCGATGTTGCCGTCTCCGGCGGCGGCGGCTGCTCCAGCAAGCGGCGAAAAGACCCGCTTTCCTCCATCTCCGTTGGTGAGCCTCTCACCCGCACAGCCCCGACTTCATCTTTTCTTCGCTCATCAGCTCGTCTTCTGGAGTCGTCATTGGCTCATTGCTCCTCGTTCCACCTTCGCCGTCACAAGAGCGATCGTCAACCATCTTTCCCTGTGCGCGCGTCGTGGCTCCTGCGGATCTACCCAGCTGACTTCCTTGTTAGATCCGCTGGCGGCGCCGACTAGCTGTTTGCCGTCGGCCATGTTAGAGATCACCACCTTCTGATCTGCGGAAGGTGACGAAACTGGAAAGGACGTGGCCGAGACCGCGGAAAAGATCGACGCGGCAGCCACCATCCCTGCCTCCTCTGTGACTGCCGAGCACCTCGCCGTCGAACTCGGCGACGTGCGCCGCCGCGCCGCAGACGCGTCCGCCTGTTCGAGTGCCTCGGTCCGCCGCGCCCCACCACGCTCTCCTTCCTCCTTCTCCTGCACCGACCCGCAGTCTTCCGCCAAGTTCAGTGGCACCTCGCGCCGCGCCGTGCTGCGCGCCATCACCACCTCCCTGCCGCGCTCGGGCGCCGTCTTTGCCTGGTCGGCGCAGATGGCGTCGAGTCGCTGAATGATACGGTTCCATACTGGATCAAAGAGCCACGAGGATCTCATTTTAGCTCTGATACCAAATGATAGAAGGAAGGTTCTATCGGATTTGATATTTGGAAATTAGTGTTTATACGAACAGAATTAGGGATTGAGATTAAGAGAGGAAGAACAGAATTAAGAATCGGCCGAAGCCTTTGACTAGGCAAGAAGAGAAAATTAGTGTTCATGACAATTATGCCACCCGCCGAATGAGACGCCCTCCGCGTCGCCCCATCCCACATACACACCGGCAAATTAATGTCTGCAGGACTCAAGTGATGGGGTAAAGGGATAGAACCGATTATTGCGGCAACTCATTGGAATTCGAGCTCTTTAGAGTGTTGGAGGGCTGTGATTGAGCATCGTTCTCGATCAGGAAGGGCACGCCACCGATGCTGCCGACTTACATATTGGAATTGTTGTTGCTGGAATGGGATACGCGATTGGGAGAGATTTCGCAGCAGGAGCAGGAACAGATTCGCTGCAATCGGAGCAGACCAAAATGAGGAGGTGTTCTTTGAGGAAGTGGGGGCAGATTCTGACTGGAGGGGAAGAAGAAGGGTGTTGCGGTGCTTGCAGGGGAGGTGAGAGGAAGAGTCATTGTGGAAGAACTCTTGTTGTTGGTTGGAGCCAACTTGTTGATTAAAATTAAATTAGGAGTAAAGGAGGGGCAATTGGGTCATTTCCCAGTCATTTTAACGGTCACTTAACGTATTAATTGACGGAAGAGTAAATTCGTTATGTTTTAATATAAGAATGGCATGTTTGTGCAAAAATTTAGTACATGGGTATGTTTGTTAATTTATGATAGTAGAGGGATACAAAAATGCTATCAACCCAACAAATAAAGGGATTACTATTCGTCGCCCTAAATATTCGAATTTATCGCCCCAAAATTTTTTAAATTACTTAAATGTCTTCCGTTTAATTTATCGCCCTAATCCCAGCCACCTGCTCAGCCGCCGTCCTCCACTGAGCATCCGCCGAATTGGTCAAATCCCCAAACTACCTAATTCCCCAAAAGTGGAAAAGGTTAAAAAAGAAAGAAAGATAAAGCTGACAAAATAATTAAGAAGGGGATGACAGAAGGAAGATAAAATTTAGGGCGATAAAATTTAAGTTGGGGGCAAAATATTCTGTTTAGGGTAGTTTAGGGCGATAAAATTTAATATTTAAAGCAACAAATAGCGATTCAGAAAAATAATTTCGGGCAATTATTCCCGCATGCGATTCTTGGGCCCGGCCCGCCTTCAATTGTAATTCTCTCCGCTGCACTCTTTGGCTGGCCCAACAGAAGTTTGTCTACTGTCTAGATAGGTAGAATGGCCATAACAACAATTCATGTGCCAGTAGAGGAATAGACCGCCATGACCACGAGTTAGTTTATTATCATATATACAAGGCAAAATACAGTTGTATATTCACAACTATCAGGTTTGTGACAAATATATCCACAACTATCGAAATACACGAAATATCCAAAAATTGGAAGGTTGTGTGGCAAATCTATCCACTTCCGTCTAAAACTATAACTGCGTGTCAGACGGCGTTAAATTGACTAACGGAATGCTAAATCGATGCCATCTCACCTGCCACATAAGCCAAAAAGCAACCAACTTTACACGTAGATGCCAAATAGGCTAATTGAATAAAAACGAAAATGAAAAAATTTGAATATGTCTGCCTCGTTCTCCACAGTCCAAAAGCAGCTTTCGTACTAACTTCGGCCCTTTCGTTCAAGGCCTTCTAGAACTCCAATCCTTCATCCAATTTCTTCCCTTGGTAGATAAACATACCTATTTTCATGTTTTGGAATTTTTTGGACTTGAATCCCTTCCATGCTCCTCGAATTGAACTCCAAAGTAAGCTTCACAAACACGTTTGCAGACTTAACCATTTTCTAGCAGTTTTCCTGCTTTGAGATAGCAACTTTGAGGCCTTGGAAAACAACCTTAATAAATTCTTCTGGATCCAAAACCCATTCCATCTTGTAAAGGGACACTTTATCTTTAAAACAAACATCTAACCTTGAATTTCCACCAAGCCAATTGAGAGAACCATGCCTCCAAAGTAGGTACAATGAACTCGAAAAATGACTTAGCCAAATTCTACCCCTTTTTCTTCCCAGCTTTGGGATCATATCAAAATTCATAACAAATCTGTAATAAATCTAGAATTTCTTAAAACTCTCATTTTTCAAATCCATAAAGCAAACGATCCCTAAATTACTATCATAGTTCAAATTTCTCCACCACTATATATATATGAGACAATCCATATTAACTCACCTAATAATACACACATATATATGGATCCGATTGCTATGTTCTTGGAGTATACTATAAACAATAAATTAAACCATTGTTAAAGTTGAATAGTAATATAACCTAACCAATTTATTGTTATTATTGGGTCAATTGATGTACTTTGCTTCTCCACCCGTTAATAGTGTAGGCAGGTGGGAAGCCGAAAAGAGAAGCTGGCATCTTAAAAAAAAAAAAAAAAGAGACTACTTCACTTCTATTTTATATATGCTTTTATTGGAACGCCTAGCTAGCTATATTCTTACAAAACGGAATTAGATCTTTATTTCCAGCTACGGCCACTAGGAAGTAGGAAATCTCTCTCGATCGTAACGCAAGTTTGGTTAATGTTTCTTACAAGCCTTGAAACACGTACAGAAGATTTGATAATCACACCAACCCAGAACAGATTTTCCATACTTCAATTGGCATGCATGGTTGCAGTAGTCTCTCAAACATTCGTACTGGGGGTCGACGTCTATGGTAGGGATGCGGGCAAATGCGCAAAGCTCCGCGTGTTGTTGTGCCGCAACTCCATTCCCTAGTTCCATTTACAAACAATCACATTATATATATATATATATATGTGTGTGTGTGTGAAATTATACTCGAGACAAAGAAAATCAAACGCGTTTAGATACAACAGAGAGCCCATATAAAATTACATGAAATCATTAAATAAAATAGAAAAGATAAATAATCACCATGTAGGAGACAAATCCCTAGGAGAAGGAAGAGGAACATCATCGAGCTTTTCATGCCTATTATTGATTCTCACTTCCCACTAACTAGCTAGTAGTACGATGGTGGTACTCTGAACTAAGTGCACCATACCGCTTCCATTTATATACACACATGCGATAGGTAGGTTGCGTTGGTGAACTAATACTACTTAACCCTAATTAACCATAATTAAGAAGATTTAATTTGTTTCTATATAGAATTAACCATTCACTAAAAGAAAATAACGTAACGTCCCTATGCATTGAATGACGAAATTAAGAAACGATATAAATCCTTCGACATATTTTGTTACCTTTAAAATATAAATAGTAATGACTAATGAGTAATGAGGAGGAGATTCCAGAAATTAAGGCAATAGCGTTACGTTATTATTGCAAAAAATCGCATTCTTAATTAGTCCCCATTTTTAGGAGGGGAAATTATTAATTATATAGTCAGCCCATGGTGTACTTATAACGCGTTTTCTTTATCTTCCTACGGCATATAAAAAAGAGACAATGGTTAGGGTAGGAATCTCACTCTTAAGTCTTAAACAAACTAATTAGTCTTTGCTCTTAACAATGAAAAGCGCATCATCGTCAGCTTTGCCAGTCTTCCTTCTTCCACTACTTTGTCTCCTTCTCCTCCTAGGTAATAATCTGCCTGCTTGCATAGATATATATTGTTACCTCATTTCGTTTCATTATCGAATGTTATTCAACATATATAGATTCTTCTTCTTCATCATCATTGCACTGAGCTAGTTTGTGTATAATTGAATTTTGGTGCCCTTACTAACAACAATAATATTATATATACTGTTCATTTTTATTTTTCTTGTTATGAAGTAGGCAACCAGATTGAGATTGTTTCTGCACAAAATCATGCCGATCTTTGCAAATTCGCAAATATACCTGATGGCCAACTTGGTAAGGGTGCTCCCAAATGCGCCGACAGCTTATGCAACGACGCATGCCAAATCAAGTTTGGGAGTTTCAACCTGGGATGGTGCGATCGTCTCATAGATTGCTTGTGTTTCAAGCCTTGTAACATGCGTTCGGATTGATTGGTTGAAACTTATGAACCCTGAAATGACTAGCTTAGCTGTAATCTAGAAGCCCCAAAGGGTGATATAAACTCTTTTTTCCGAGAATATCAGTAGGGCAATTTGGTTTCACAAATCCAAACCTAATAAGAGCAAGTTAGAGGGTTGTTCTTTTTTATGTTTCCTGCAGGTTCGCTCTTCTTGCTTATTTACAATTATTTAACAAATTTAATTTGTTCTCCGTACCTGCCAGTTGTTTGATTTGTATTTTTCTATGTGAATAAGACAATAATTATTCACTTGGGCGTCTTATGTTGGATAGGAATCACAAATACAAGAATGTACGAACCTGGAGTTTGAAATCTTGTAGAAACTTCAATGATTATGAATTATGTGTTTAAATACAAGATCAAACTCTTGACAACCTTGTCTACAATCCACCACCGCATTTTCTTGTTTTGATGCTACTCACTCTAACATACTACTCCAAAGCGTGATCACACCTAAGTTTTGACGGACTCTAAGCCTGCTAATCATTACCCAATATACCAAAACGCCACCGCTTTACTAACAAGACTAACATTACACAACCAACTTTGTGTCGAAATTTAAAATAATTAAATAAAAATATTGTTTAAATTAATTATTAGTTATGTAAAAGTCATAATCGAATTATCTAAGTAACGCTCAATTAATCTAGTTAAAACTCTTTTTGGTCGTTTCCCTATTGGGACAGGAGGGCCAAAAAATGTTGACATAAATTAACTAGGGGTGTACTTCAAATGCTTAACAAGGTAATTATCAAATCAAGTAATACTAAATTCTATTAATCATGGAATACAAATATCATAATCAAACCGTCCAAACTAACGATTTGGTTAATTGGTTTACTAGATTAACCAATATAACATCAAATTATCATTAAGTGAGAATTTTTTTGTTTATATAATGAATAAAATAGTCTCTTAGCATTATTATAGGTTGTTAAAGACTTTTCTTTCAAGTGTTCATCCAACATAATGTATGAGTTTCATCTAAATTAGATGACCATGTGTTGTTGTCTACACTCTACAAATAGAAATATAGTATGAACAATATTGAACTTTATTATTTATGAGTCTATAAAGGAGGAACGTTTCTCTCTTGAGTGTTTATGCAAGTATTAAGTATGTATATAAAATTTATATTAGATATATGACTAATTACTTAACTGGTTGATTTGGTTTCATTGGTTTGGAGTGTCCGAAACCAAACCAAACCATCTAAACCAAACAAACTAAAAAATTTAACCAAACTAAACCAAACCAATTATCCAAATTTACTAAACCCAACCATCTCCAGCACCATTTTCCCCCCTTTCTTCTCAAACTGGCAGCCTACATTTCTTCAACTTCACTATCCAACATATCTTCAAGATCATTAACCGAGAAAGCATACAACTCGATGACTCTTCCCTCGCCATTGGATGCTATTGACATGCTCAGAATATCTTCATCATTGACAATCTCAGACATTGCATCGTTGCAAGGAGATTTCCAAAAGAACTTCGGATCTTTAATCGCCCCACCACACGCCGCATATATGCCAGGAAGGTCGAGCACTGAAAGTTCATCAATATCCGCATAGTCCCAAAACACAGTGGAGGTTTCATTGAGGAAATGCTTGTCGCCAACCTCTTTCATTTCATGGGACACATGAACTGCAAAGGTGAACTCTCCATTGGAAGCACCTGTTTGGTAAAAAAAAAAAGCAATTGAAAGGAGTTAATTTCAAAGGAAATGAGCAGTTATGGAGCAGCAAGTAAGTAGGTGGTCCTGTCCCACCAGCTTCTATTAAAAGACAGAAAAGGTCAAACCTTAAGACTGCATTTTCGTCATTCCCACAAAACCTTGCATTTTTCTATTCGAATTCTACCCAAAGTGTTGTCCTCATCTCTAGTAAATGCCAACTGTGGAAAAGGACAACCCAAACCAGCCATCTACCATAAAGACAAGAGCGAAAACGACGAGAGACTTACAATAGTTAGGCTGAGTTTCATTTGGAGCCTGCACATGCCCCACCATGCTTACTTCGGTGAAATGGTGACCTGGAAAACCAACAACAGCCTGAAATTTAGTATAAAAGAAAGCCAAAAGCGAACCCCCAAAAGCCATAACACACACTCAATGCTTTCGTCTGCCCCCTATTCTTTTCTCCTTTTCAGTCTTTCCAGACAAGGCTCGAATAAACAAAAGGCAGAAACTCACCTTTAGGGTTTCGTTGTCGGAGAGAGGAGGAGAATCAAAGCTTCAATTTAGGGTTTTGTTGTTTGCTCAGAAAGGGGGAAGAAAATGGGAAGAGAGTTGAACTCGGTATTGAGAAAGGAGTCAACCACATCAAATTAACATTGTTTCCTGATGGTCATCTTCACTAATCTCTACACTAATACATCAATTAAGTAATAATTAACTAACATAATTTTGTTAAAAGGGGAAAAAGTGAAAGAGTGAAGGGAAAATTGAGAGAAAGAAGTTAGATTTTGATTTGGGTGACCACTCAATTGCATTTCTACTATATATTTTTCTTGAGTTACACTCACTATTATTGATAGGTTGCAAACTGATTCACATATTTTTCATATATAAAGAAATATTTTTGGTGGGGCTGGTATGGGTATAATAGTAGAAATATTTCTTGAGTTACACTCACTATTATTGATAGGTTACAAATTGATTCACATATTTTTCATATATGAAGAAATATTTTTGGTGGGGCGGGTATGGGTATAATAGTAGAAATATTTCTTGAGTTACACTCACTATTATTGATAGGTTGCAAACTGATTCACATATTTTTCATATATGCATACCCGCCCCATACCCATCAAACTTTTTGCGGGTTTTACCCATACCCGCCCCATACCCGGTCAATGCGGGGTTTCCCCGCGTTGACTGGGTCGGGGGCGGTCGGATACCCGTGGGCATGGGTATGATTGCCATCCCTAATGATAAATAACTAGCTTTTATCCAATCGTTGGTCGGATAAATTTGTTTCATTTTTTTATTATTTTGGTGGTACTTGTTATTGGTAATATTACGAATAATGAGTTTAGTTTGTCCTAGTTGGAAGGCATATGTCATTGTATTGTCATACATTTTTCTCTATATTTTCACTACAAAAATTTGCTTGTTCAATTCTTTTTCTTTCCATTCTCCCTTTTTTATTCGGTGGCAACAACCGGTCATCACGTCTTTCAACCTATCTCCGATGGCTCTCTCCCTCTATATTTATGTATTTCTAGCTAAAACTGGAGGGTTTAATTTATTAATCAATGATACCGTCGTAGATGTGGTCGTCTACTCCTGTCCCTCGATTGTAGGGGAGTTTTTTTAATGCTATGTCTATAAGGGAGTCTCAAAGATGAAGATCTTTTATTTTCTTAAATATTAGGGTTAATTCCACTGGAAGTCAAACATCAATTTTCCCTTACAAATTATCCATACATAAAACACACGTCTAGAAAAATCAAACAAATCACTACTACATTAAATAAAAGCACACAATTATATTTATTATTTTTCGTTCATTTCCTTTTTTTTAGATAAGGGTGATATAGTTTATTTTCTGTAATTAGGTACTACTGAAGGGATTCCAACCTGAGACCTCCAAGTTCAAGACTAGTAGTATTACCACTAGACCAATCTCTTGTTCGTTTCGTTCATTCCCTTTTTGTTTGTGAGAGAGCAACAAACCAACAAACATGGTGTGCTCTACTTCAATTATTAATTTATCCCTCCCACTTCTTTTGACAAAAAAAGGAACAATACCTTGTTGGTAAGAAATAAAACATACAGTCAACTTTCTGGGAGAAGCAGGGAAGGATTGGGGGTCGGATCAGGAAGGAGAGGGGGTTTTGGGGGAGAGAGCAGAGTGTGGACTGGGGAGGTGGCATGTGAGTCGTGAGTGTTGTGAGAGTTATATTGGGGGAAATTAGAATTAGGGTAGAGTTTGGGAGAGTATGGCGACAGAATAAGTGTGGGCGGGTATCCCCAAACCCAACCTGATAAACAGTGTAACGGGCTTAAACCCGAATCGAGTCTAAAAGGATTTTCTCCGCATTGACCGGGTTGGGTCGGGTACCCGTGGGTTCGGTTTTTTTGCTATCCCTACTTTATTAGGACAGATCACAGATGTTACCTTCCCTTGGACCCCAATAATATCATGTCGAGGTCTTGTTCGTGAGGGTTGCAGCGCCGGTACCCAATTATCTTTGAGCACCTCGACTGACTCACCCAAGCCAATCTGTCATCTGAGTCCTTGAACCAGCAGATCTCGCCCACATAAAATTCCCGCCATCCCCAAGAGGGCAGACTAGAGACCCAGCCCTGGCGTCCAGGATAGAAGAGTTGAGATAGTACTTTCATTTATACACTCGGGCTAAAAACGAATTAGGTTCATTCCATATTTCCAAGAACCTTAGGCAACAGATACTGATTAAACTCCTCAAATGTCCTGAAATCCAACCAACCCTCATGTTTACTTAGACACATAGATGTTCAAGCTACCAAGTAAATACGCCTCTCCCCTTGTTTTACTCCCACCAAAATTTGGCCAAATGCCTGTCTAGTAAATAACATAAGAAAGAGTCGACCAGAGTATGCTTTGTTTTGCAGAGAAAAAAGAAAAGAGGAAGGATAAGATAGCAAAGAAAATGAAGACACAATAAATAATTATACCATATCAAATTGTTTCATTCAAAATCCTGATATATACACAAACACGCATAATTAATTCAATTTTCTTATATAAATTTTTTGATTATTTGAATGAATCTGGACCCAAATGTCTTAGAATAAAATCATTGATCTAAACAACCTCTTATTGTAATTTGAATCTACAAATTATGAAAGAACTAAATTATGGGTATACGAGTAGGATTTTGATCTCAATCCATCAAAGACCTCTTTTACCGAAAACCAAAGACCTATATAGAACATCATGTGGGTAGAAACAAGGAAAATAAAATTGAGTTTATTGTAAACCAGAGACCTATATCCACCATGCAGAATTGCCATTACTCGCACTATCTTCCATTCCATCGCCTCCTCTTCCCAGCAGTGACAGA